AACCAAAAGGCTGGCAGTTCGAATCCACCAAGTGCTCCTTGGAAACTCTATGGGGCAGTTCTACTCTGTCCTGTAGGTTCGCTATGAGTCGGAATTGATTCAACGGCAATGGGTTTGGTTTTTTTTGGTTAGACAACTAAGGCACCTAACTAGGTCAATTTATATAATCCTAAAATCTTTGTGATAATCTGAAAATACTAACAATCATGTACATGACTAGAGTTATTGAGGCCAGTATTTTTTCCATATATGTGCTCAATTTTTAAGCCCTAGGATCATAAAGACAACACTTTATTAGAACTATTTATAGGCTCCAAACCAAGGTAGAGGTAGCAAAAAAGATGGATCAGATATGGAGGTGCCTCTTGGCAGACAAAAGGGGAGCAGACTCCCTTGTTCAATAAGGCCAAAAGAGAATGCTATTTTAAAACCCTTAGCATAATATTGTGATTCCTTTGGACAACACTGGAATAAATTAAACAATGGACTTAGTCTTGCTAATAGATCATTGAAGGTTTAAAAATCCAAAACATATTCAACCCACAGCAACCCAACATGTTTTTCACAAAGGACTTTAAAAGTGAGATGGATTCCAGTTGGAGAAAAGTAACTATGTGCTCTGCAGGGAAGTAGCCTTGTTATGGGCTATCTGCCACTGTCAACTCAATCCCACTTCAGAAAAGGCCACTGTAGCTCAGAGGAAGGAAGATGTGGGGGAATGACTGGGTCTTCTATTTTTAGCTTATGTGCCTGGTTTAAAAGAATTTCATGTTGTCTTTTTCTAAGTTGAAACAGAGGAGCATTGCTTTATTAAACAAAGACTTATTCTAATCTATTACTTACTAAAATAATAAAACAGGTATTAAAACATATCACTGTAGTAATGGTAGCCCTCATTCAACTACGGTATCAAGCCAGGTGATCAATGGGCTGTCAGACATCAGATGTCACAGTCATATCGCTCACGCATTTTTACCTGCAGAATGTACACACATCTTTCTTCAGGAACTATATTCCATCAAGACTATTTCACTAGGAGGCATTTTTAATTCTGCAAAATATCTATCTTGGTCTGCACTTGAACTACATCCTTTTTCTCAGGTCTCTAGGTTTCGTTTTTAGACGAAAATGCAGTGTCATTTCTCTTGAAATAATGGCATGCTAATCATAACAGCATTTCAAAAAAAAGAAAGAAAGCAAACTTTTACAATGGAAAAAGAAATCTAGCTCAACCACCACAACAAATTCATATAGGGATCAGCATCAATTTATATACTACAATGACAATTAGAAATTTATTGTTCACAAATTCCTGCAGAGATAAATTTGGCAAAACCACTCAGTTCAGGGAAAAAAAGAGACTGCCTCCAGTGTACGTGTAGATACATGGTAGAAGGTATGTCATACACTGAGTTAAAATATTAAGACAAGAAATAAGAGAACTTGGAGGTAAGTTTAGATGCAAGGAAAACCAGGGCATTCAGAAAATGGCAGTGCTCTGGGACTTTGAATAATGGACGTGACAAGTGAACATAGTATTGTGTTCACAAGAGGCAAAGCAAGGGTAAAATGATGATATAATGACTTCAACAAAGAAGGTAAAGAAGTGTCAAGGACTTCTGCCACATTAGATTTGTATCAATGCCTACAAAACAGTCTGGAACACAGTGTATGAAAATATTGCCTATCATCTTGCTCATACTCCTGATGATAAATTTTCAAGAAGGTCCCTTTCCATTTCTCATCCCTTTCCTTCCTTCTTTATCTATAACTCAAGTATTGGGGAGTGGTTCATTCACCGATTCATCTGCCGTGCACATACAGAGCACCTGCTACGGACAGGACCTTGGGCTAAGAGCTATGGGGAACACATAAGAGGACCCTAACCTACCTGTATATCTCCAGGGCAAGAAATGCCTTGTTTCTGAAAGCAAAGCTGATGATAGGCTCAAATGCAAAGTGTTCTCAAAAGGGCAAATATTGTATGACTGTGCTTATATAAAAAGACAAGAAAAGACAAATGTATATAGAACAAAGTTTATCAGTGGGTGGGAGGGGGAAAGGGGGGTTAACGGTGATGGAAATATTGCACTGATTAAGGGTAGGGTTGCATAGCCGATTATTGTAACTGTCAATAAGTTGTACACCTGTAAAAAGCTGAATTGGCAAAATTTGTGTAATAGATATATTTACAAAAAAAAAAACAAAGAAGAGAGAGAAAGAAAGAAAGAGTAGCTGCTGAGGCTGATCATAAAAAAAAAAAAATAATGTAAAGTGTTCTTCTGACTTTACATCAGAATGTGAAGTTCTGAGTTAGGTCCAGAATCCCTGACTTAGTTCACTAATTGATGAAATGAGGCATAGACAGGTGCCTGTCTATACTTAAATGACTGAAAATGTTGGAAATGGAATCATGAATTTACATTTCTGAAGAAGCTAGAGAACGATAAAGGAAAAAAAAGTCACTCTCTAGTGCCTCAGTGCAAAATAAGAGAGGAAATGTTCATGTCTCTAAGAATATAAAAAGGTTAATATTTAAATGTGAGAGAAAGGTGTCCTTTGACATACTATGTGGTCTTGGTAAACATCTGGAAAATGAAATTTAAATTTAATACTCATTAAGTCTGTCAGAAATTAATTATTTGTCAAAAATACCCCCTTCCTACTCCTACACACCATCTCCTGCCTCAATTCAGGAAAGCAAATTGAATTTCATTCTGGTCTAATGACAACAGATAGCTTTCATATTAAGCAATTTGAGTTATCTGACAGCATACAGTATCCTACTCAACAAGCTACAGAAAGGGAAAAAAGAAAGATACTATTCCTTAGAAACAATTTCAAGTGTCAACCTAAAATAAAAGCCATAACTTCTTGGATATAGATTTTCCTAGTAATCTGCTGTTTAAAATCATTTTTACAGCTGTTAAGCCCTAATATTTTATTTTTCGAAATGAGTTTTATATAGACTAGTCAATTCTGGCTCATGTTGACTCCATGTGTTACAGAGTAGAACTGCTCCATACAGTTTTCTTGGCTGTAATCTTTATAGATCACCAGGCCTTTCTTCCATGGCACCACTGGGTGAGTTTGAACCGCCAAGCTTTAGGTTAGCAGTTGAGCACAAACTGCTTGCGCCACCAGGGGTCCTTGGTACCCGGAAAACAGGACCACTATCATGCAAGTTGTGGCAGTTAAAAATCATCACAGATATAATGTTTACTCTTCAACTCTATTAGGTTAACTTCTTAGGCCAAGACTTGAAAATAAATAACTGTCAATCCCTGAGATAAGAACCCTCTGCTACAATATACGTTACATGTTGGGGGCAAAAAATTACATCTTTTTGTTTCTAAAGCTGTTACTTACTATTCTAAGCAACACAGCAATAAATGCAAAAACTGCATATAGCCACAAATGCCAGTACCTAAAGCACGTGGGTTCTCCCCACCCCTTTCAATCTGTATGGTTATTCCTTTACACCTAAACTCCTGGAGTCCCCAGGCTTCTAATACCCCCCTCTCCAATTCATTCAACTCTACATCCTTAACCCACATTTTCACCCTGTCTCTTTTTAGCTTTATAACTCTTCCAGAGATATTCATTATACACAAGAGAAATCAGAATTTCCTTGGCCTGGCATTCAAGGCCTAGTAAAATCTGGCCCCAGCTTACCTTTCCAATCAAGTGTTTGTGTCCCTCTGATATGAACCTCCTCTCTTCACCTGGTACTCTAACAATAGTCCCACAAAGCAATCTAACAAGTCTTTTAACCTCTGTTCACAATTACCTCTCTTTTCCCTTTCCCAACCAACACACACATAAAATGTCTTCCCTACGCCTCTCTGCTCATCCAAAGTCCACCCATAATTCTAAATCTAGCTCAAGTTGTCGTACATTTTTCTCTTGATCTTTGTAATTCCCAGGGTATTTGACACAGGAACCATTATTTGCCATAGAAAACTAAAGAGACTTTGAAATTGTCTGGTTTCATTTTCCACACAAGATGCAGCAGTGATCTCATACCTTGTGCTTTTACATGACTTTTAATGAACTTATCTCAATAAATAGGTTATACGCTTGTCAAAGTAAAGGTTCCCATCTTATACTTTTTTTTTTTTTGGATCTGTCCCGTAACAAATAGTGCAATCTCAGTAAATATTTTGTAAATTTATTAAGTGACATTTTAATAAATGGACCCTCCAAAAATGTATCATAAATCAGTAGATAATCCTTTAGATAGTGAGAAGAGAAGTAAGGCATTTTGACAAGTCTCCATAAAAATAACAGCAATAAAGTATAAGGATACTGTTTCTAATTACCAGGTAATGTTTGCAGACACCACTGATTCTCATCACATCAGGGGACTGGAGAGCGAAACGGGACTCCCAGATGGGGTGAGGCTCAGGGATGCACTGAGATGTGTTTTGAACATTCCTGGGTATTTTTTTAAAATCTGAGAGGATAATGGACTATTTGTTGGCTGCGTCAAAATGTCACTGACACCAAAACAGCCATGTCAAAATGCCATGCTGGCCTGTTTTTATTAATTTTCTTTATTTTTGGAACATAAATCATTGCACGTTTGGCATGAGTGTGTTTCCAATATGCTTTTTATCCAAGTAACCACATCTGATTATTTTCTATAAATGTTTTCTAGAGTACTTGCTGCAGATTACAAACAAAATATAGAGATTTTATAGTATTTAACATTGTCAAAACTACTGAAGACATTATGGACAGTACTAGGTACAGCATTGCTGTGAGGCACTTAAATATATTAAGAATGCTGCCTTTTCAAAAGTATTACCACTATACATCACTGTAACGTGAATTTAAGCGTCATGCTAATAAATGCTACAAAGCGAGAATCTACCCTGGAGCAGGAACTTAAAAGGTACACAGTATTCTCAAATGAATTACATTTTATTGAAATGATTTGTATATATATTACTGTGAGAATATTTGACACACATGAGAAATAAGAAGTAAAATTTTACCTTGTGTCTGTTTCTTGTTGACTGCATTATCAGCTTTATGTCGTTTCTAAAGTTAAAAAACAAAAAGAACGATTGTGAAAAAGTGAATGATTAAGAAAACAAAATAGCACCCATGACAGAAGAGAAATATCTTTTAACTTCTGTTTCTCAATGTTTTTATCCTTTCCTCCCATATCAATTTTATAAGTAAACATCAGTGGGGATGTGGTAACGGAAAGAATCAGAGAGCATTCAGGAATTTTAAAACTGAAGGCACAACCCACAGCACTTTTATACAGCCTTGGTGGCACAGTGGTTAAGAGCTCGATTGCTAATAAAACGGTCAGCAGTCTGAATCCACCATCCACTCCTTGGAAACTCTACGGGGTAGTTCTAATCTGTCCTATAGGGTCGCTATGAGTTGGAATCAACTCAACTGCAATGGGTAGCTAGGAATACAGACTTGCTGTCCACTGAAGGAAACCCTGGTGGCATAGGGGTTAAGAGCTACTAACTGCTAACCAAAAGGTCAGCAGTTCAAATCCACCAGGCGCTCCTTGGAAACTCTATGGGGCAGTTCTACTCTGTCCTATAGGGTTTACTCACTATGAGTCAGAATCAACTCGACGGCAACGGGTTTAGTTTGGTTTGGTCTGGTCATCTGAAGGATCTTAAATTAGCATATGTTGTTGTTGTGTGCCATGGAGCAACCTTACAGGACAGAACAGAACTGTCCCATAGGGTTTCCTAAACTGTAATCTTTACAGAAACAGATGGCCAGATCTTTTCTTCCACAGAGTGGCTGGTGGGTTTGAACCGCTGACATTTTGGTTAGTTGCCCAGCGCTTAACCATTGCATCACCAGGGCTCCTTAAATTAGTATATAAACCAACTGCCGCTGAGTAGATTTCGATTCACAGTGACCCTATAGGGTTTCTAAGGCTGTAAATCTCTACGGAAGCAGACTGCCGCATCTTTATCTTGAGGAGCCACTGATGGTTTTGAATCACCAACCTTTCGGTTAGCAGTCAAACGCTTTAACCACTGTGCCACAGGTAAGATTAAAACTCTAATGTATTAGAAAAGTTTGAGCTGAAAGGCTGATTTAATCTTTTGCTTAAATAACTCACTTAGAAGATTGCTCGAGATAATTATTTATAACTATCATTTAATAATGGTATTGAAATCTTTTCCACTTCTTACGAAATTCATAATCTAATTAAGCTAAGTAGATCCTCTGGAATATAATGATGGGCTGCTATCTGTAAATGACTAGAACCAAAGACAGTTACTATTTGCATACAGCCTCTTCTATCCACTGCTTCCCAACACTCTTACTCCTTGAATCACAAGCCACATGATCCTACTGTTCCTCCTCCCAAAAGCACTTAAAAAAATTAAACGGTAAACAGATAAATTAAGTCTGAGTAGGTGAGTTTGAGGAGTTACATAAGCCAACGGTTTATAGCAGTGTGTAATAGAAAGAAAAGAAAGGTCAGAGAAAAGGAGAGAATTTGAGTGGCCAGAGAAAACTACCTTCTGTATAGTTCAACTAGAGGTTTTCCATGACTTGCGTCTAAACTTACAGCATCGAGTATAACACATCAGATTCCGTTAACAAGGCAGAAAAGACTTGAGTGTAATTAACCGTGCTTAAAGGTTCTATCACATAAAGTTCAAGGTCAGATTCAGCTGCACATAACTGACTACGAAGTGGGCTGGAACGTATGGAAAGCAAATGAGTTCTTAAGTTTTCCATTTGCAAAGAAACATGGTTTAGAATCACAGTGCACATATGAAAACACTCTCCAAGAGAAAAGTCTAGACTTGTGGATTAGCCCTATACGGTCGCTATGAGTCAGTATCATCTCGACAGCAATGTTTTTTTTTTTAAATCTTTTTTATTTTTTATTGTACTTCAGGTGAAGGCTTACCGAACAAATAGATTCTCATGAAACAGCACTACACATATTGTTTATGACATTGGTTAACAACCCCACAAAATGGCAACCCTCTAACTTCTCAACCTTTTTTTTCTGGTGAAAATACACATAGCCAAAGATACACCGTTTCAAAAATTTCTACATGCACAGTTCAGTGACATTGACTACGCTCTTCCAATTGTGCAGTTATTCTCACTTAAGATGAAGGCTTACAGAACAAACTAGTTTCTCATTTAACAGTTACTACAAATGTTCCCCTATGACAATGGTTAACAATCTCACAACACATCAACAATATACTTACTCAACCTTGAGTTCCCTATCACCAGCTTCCTTGTCCCCTTCTGCCTTCTGGCCCTTGTAACTGGACCACTGTACCTCGTTAGTCTCATTTGGTTTTATGGGGCTGTCGACTCCCAGGCTGAATGGTGAACCTTGGAGATAACTTCATCACTGAGCTAAAACGGGGTCTGCGGGCCATACTCTCAGGGTTTCTCCAGTCTCCTTTAGGCCAGTAAATCCGGTCTTTATTTTGTGAGATAGAATTCTGTTCAACATCCTTCTCCAGCTCTGTCCAGAACCCTCTGTTGTGATCCTGGTCAGAGCAGTCAAGGGTGGTAGCCGGGCAACATCTAGCTGTACTGGACTCAGTCCGGTGGAGGCCTTGGTAGCCGTGGACAATTAGTCCTTTGGACTAATCTTTTCCTTGTATCCTGTTCTTTTCATTCTCCCTCGCTCCCGAAGGGATGAGACCAGTGGAGTATCTTAGATGGC